TTTACGGAGACCATTAGCACGAAACATGTTCTTTGAAAATATGTTCAAGAAATGATATCAGACTCTTCAATTACCTACAAGTAGGGTCACAGGGTGTAGTAAAAAAAATCCCGCGTTGCGGCGTTAATTATATTCCCAAATTTCGCTAAATATATCTTTAATTTATGAAAGTTTTTATTTTTTTCAATAATATTTTTTATGCTATAACTGAGACAGAGTAGCAACGAGCAAGGGGGTTATTCTCCCAGAGCTCGATTATAGAGGGGGGTGGGGGCTCAACCTTTACAAGACTACGCAATAACCCAGTTTGAGATATTAAAGGTTTACATCATCAGGTTGCACAGATATAGGGATTAGAAAATTATGCAGTACTTCGGATTAAAATAATTCCTCTTGGATATCCCATTGTGGTCGAAATCAAAAGAAATAATTTAAAATACGGGATCAAGCACTGAAACACCTAAGTTGTCGAGATCAAGCATTGTGCAGCGCTGTTTCAAAAATAATTTTAGTCCTCATGGGATCCATGGGACGCGGCAAAAACATCTTGTTTCTCTTTATATTACGGTTTTTAACAAATAAACCAAATGTCCAAGGGTACCCGGCATTGTCTTTAGTTACACATTCTCCTATCTCTACCTGTACACGTGCAGTTGGTTTAACAGTCTTCAGGCGAAACTTTTTCCAGGTAAATAAACTTTTCCGATGAGATACGCCAGAAATATTGGGAAGAATCCCTTAAATTTAATCAAGACAGAAATGAAAGAATTTGAATTATTCAAAGTGTATTTTTACTTTTCCTGTCGATTTCTTTAGATAAAATAAAACTTTTGTTTGATGGGGTCAATCATGTACGTTATAGTAAAATGTCTTTTTAGTTAACTTTATTTCTATTTCTTTTTTACTTTATTGTTCTTTTTTCTTAAAAGCTTTGACCTGATTTACTTTTATCTCCTGCACGTGACCTTTCACGTGGATTATAATTTTTAGGATCAATTAATTTCTTAGATCCTTGAAACCCTACATCATGGCCCATTGGGGAAAGGGGAAAAAGAAAAAGGAAATTACTATTTAAAAAAAAATAATAACAATTCTTTTACAGGGAAATTTTCGTATATAGATATTTCATAACATGAGACAAGACACATTGTAGGCGGGACAATTCATAGACAGGACATTTCATAGACAGGACATTTCATAGACAGGACATTTCATAGACCAGACATTTCATAGAAAGGACGTTTCATAGACAGGACATTTCATAGACAGGACATTTCATAGAAAGGACGTTTCAAAGACAGGACATTTCATAGTCAGGACATTTCATAGACAGGACATTTCATAGACAGGACATTTCATGGACAGGACATTTCATAGACAGGACATTTTATAGACAAGACATTTCATAGACAGGACATTTCATAGACAGGACATTTCATAGACAGGACATTTCATAGACCGGACATTTCATAGACAGGACGTTTCATAGACAGGACGTTTCAAAGACAGGACATTTCATAGACAGGACATTTCATAGACAGGACATTTCATAGACCGGACATTTCATAGACAGGACATTTAATAGACAGGACGTTTCAAAGACAGGACATTTCATAGACAGGACATTTCATAGACAGGACATTTCATAGACAGGACATTTCATAGTCAGGACATTTCATAGACAGGACATTTCATAGACAGGACATTTCATGGACAGGACATTTCATAGACAGGACATTTCATAGACCAGACATTTCATAGACCGGACATTTCATAGAAAGAACGTTTCAAAGACAGGACATTTCATTGACAGAATATTTCATAGACAGTACATTTCATAGCCAAGACATTTCATAGGCAAGACATTTCATAGAAAGACATTTCATAGGCAAGCCATTTCATAGACAGGACATTTCATAAACAGGATACTTTATATTTATATATAGTTTACAGTACATTTCATACAAGTTTTTCCATATACCATTGACATTTCCCCAACAGACTATTTATAGACAGAATTTTTCATGGACAGGAAATTTCATAGAAAAAGAAAATAGATAGTTTTATCTTTCTTTCTTGCGTGTTATACATTATTTTTACAATATGATAGATACATGATATTTCTCTGTATATTAATTGTCTTTTTTGTATGAAATTTCAATCCATGATTTTGTTATCTTTAGAATGTCCAACTATGGACATATTTCTTTAAAAATGTCCAAAAACCAATTTTTCATGATTATTTTTCAAGAAACTGCCAAAGTGTTATGCGCAAATATATTATAGGATGACTACTTTGGTAAGGTAGACCCAGCTTGCAATACATATTCACATTTTATAAGGATTTTTTGTTTGTTTTAAATACTTACATGCCCCTACTGAAATTAGAAACTGATATGACATTGTTAACTCCAGTTTAATCAGCTAGAGAAAGCTGTACAGTACAAATACTGACTTTGTAAGGCAAAATGGGACGGTAGGCCAATTAAATAGGCCATTGTCAAATTAAAATGAGAAAATCTTGAAAAATACAATTTTTGCGTAATTTTCTGTTTATTGATCTCTAACAGACTAACAGTAAACAAAATTAACTACGATCCAGCATAAACAGTTTATTTCTACATAAATGCGAACAAGATAAGTCCAAATAATAATCAGCTTTAAAACAAACTAAACTTCAAAACCCTTCTACATTCAGAGTACATAAAGTATCAAAATCAAAGTACAGCTACTAGAGTAAAGTAGCACATTAAATGTACAGAAAGGAATTGAGTCTTTGCCACAAACTAAGATTTTCTAATTCATATATCATTTCAACCCAATGTCGTAGACCTTTGATATTTCAAACTTAGATTCTTTGATCTAACATAATTCATAATTTGAAATATCAAAGGTTTACAACATTAGGTTGCAAAGATATAGGGAATAGCAAATTTGAGGTTGTGGCAAAGACTCAAATCCTTTAGGATTTTTACATCTGCAATACAGGCCAATTATTACAAAAATTGAAACAAAACTGTGAAAATTTTGAAAACAAAACTTTTCAAAAATTCAAATTATTTTTGAATATATTACATCTTACTTTTTTACTGTAATTGAATCAATTGAGGAGGGTAAACATTCCTAAAATCAAGCAAAATTTGTTTTACAATATAAAACAAACATTCAGCTAAACTGAAAACTATTTTTAACATCTTAAATTTACAAATAATTACGTTAAAGCTGATTACATTATGATAAACCAGAGAAAAGCTGATTGTATGCTATCAGCTCCTGCTAAAGTACAGGATCAGCTGCTGGCATATTATCAGCTAAATATAAATTCCCTACAGCCTCATATCCCCTCTCTGTACCGACCTTGAGGCAAAATGTTGGCTTAGGAATACACTTTGAGAGATACAAAGAGACATATAAGGACACAGTTTTTAAAAACAAAAATAATTCTTTATTCTCTCAGCTGAAATGTTTCTTTATTAAGATTTTGTTTCTATTATATTGACATTGCAGAACTATAAATGGATGAGAACTGAATGAACTTCTACGTGTTGCATGTAATGACGATTAGAAATAAAAAATATAGAATATTCGACAAGACAAAGCAAATCACAATTCAGATATAAATCTAACTTTAAAAAAGAATGAACTATGAGATTGTAATCATTAGGCTGTAATGTATTCAAGTTTACAAAAGGTACATTGTAAAAAACAGAATCAGGAGAACTAACAGGATCTAAAGAACAGTGTCCGAATTTAATGAATTTAAGCCGCGTCTCAAATCTCCCAAAACCGGTTTCAATTGAGCGCCAGCTTAAATCTTGAAAAATTTAATACAATTTTAAGTGGAATCAAACATATTCAAGCCGCGGCTCAAATTCTTTAAATTCGGCCTCAGAAGAAGTTTTTAATGGAATTGAGTCTTTGCCACAAACTCTAGTTTTCTAATCTTGGCGGACCTTAGATATTTCAAACTAAGATTTCTATTAGACCAAATAATCTGAGTTTGAAATATCAAAGGTTTATATTAGCAAGGAATTTTAGTTTGGAACAAAAACTCATTATTTGGATTAAGTTTAACCGATCTATCATTGGTCCAACCTCCTTAGTTGAACACATTTTAATCGTTTTGAATTAATTCCCAGGTCAAAGCTTTTTACAAAGATGTTTCCTAAACTTGAACTTTTGAATGTGATGTGAGCGCCAAAGGATTCCTGGCCTATATATATAATACAGGTCAAGAATGTTTATATCTATAAAAATCTATGTATCTCTATACTATTTATCTATCTATCTATCTATATATCTATCTATCTATCGATCATACCGTCCATCTTCACATATTTTCTGTGTTATGTGTATATGGCAAAATCAGGAATTAGAATATCCTGGACCTTAGCCAGGGATTCAAAACTGAAAATATTCTTTAAATATTTCTCTAAATACAATAAAACCCTGTTAACCACTTTAAAATCTAAACATTACCTCATTAAAAAATCGAAAGATAAATATTTTTGTAAAAATGTAAATTGTATATTCCAGCTTTCGTCTCAGGGTTGAAACAATTTTCTAAAAGTCAGAATAGATATGGTAAGAAAAATATGTTTAAAGTCAACTATTCTTACTAAACCTAATCTAACAGTTGGTTCAATAAAATTGCATATAAGTTCTGGGATATATTAATATTACGTTTCTATTTTTATTCTTTGTGAATTTGGGTTGAAAAAAGACTGTAGATAAGAAGAATATGAACTAGTAATAAATTTCACAACTTTCATGAAAACTATTTTGCCCATGGTCTTGTAGTATCACGGATAAATTATCACTGCTATTTTATACCTTGAGCAGATGGTGGTCCCAAAGGGAAAGGTTGGACACCCTTGCATTTTAATAAATGCACGAAGAACTTTAACTGTTCATTAAACAAAATGGCGGCTTCCGGTGTACATTGTACAATGTACACTGTTACAGCTCATGTAATTATAGTTTATATGTTGATCATCTTCGTTTGGAATATTTTGCATTGTTTGAAGAATTGAACCAGGGGTGAAGGGGGGGGGGGTCAGTCAGATGTGAGCATACGAACAAACTCCTCGTAGTTTAGGACTCCGTCTCCGTCCTTGTCTGCCTCCTGAATCAACATGTCCACCTCCTCCTCCGACAATTTGTCCCCTGAAAGTAAAACCTGTTTTATTTAATCCGAACATAAATGCATTCATTTTGTGCAATGTTTTATAAACATTGAAATACTAGAAGCCCGGGAAGTTAACCCCTAATTTGGGCATAATCAGAGCTCACAAGCATGTTTAGTTTTTCATCATTCTCTCAACAATTCGAAGAAATCTGAACCTGATTTCAAATGCCCACTGTGCTCACAAAGGTCACAAGGTCCAGTGAGCCGTGCAATATTACATGGGGAGGATTGAAGTACAATAACAAGAAAACATGGAGGAAATAAATTTATGTAACAGGTTGCTGCCCACTGTCCATATTTACAAAAATTATTTGAAAATTGCCTCAGAAAATGACTGTCAATCTTTCAGGAATGTATTTTTCTGTTAAATATAGCTGAATAATTCAATCTGAACGTTTAACATTGTGTGACTTCAATATTGATGAGTTTTTGGTCTTGATAAAACATTAGTTCTATAAAATCTTTCAAAATGCCAATATAACCAGCCATTTTTTATTATAAATTTTTAAATCAATTAACAACATCAAGGTTTGCCACAGTTATGAAAATTATGCATAAACTACTCAGATCGGGCTGATTTTAAAGTGTCGCCATGTATATTAAGCTAACCATGCAACTTATGCTTTTGGTAGCCCTGCACATGAGTATTTCACGTTGCAAAGATGCTTGTTACCAGGTGCAATTCTGAAGGAGTTTTTTTTTTGTTGGCAATTTTGCTACAAAGCTAAAATATTTTAGCTTACAGTTCAGCTTATTTAAGATTAATTTTACCATGTCTTCTTGTCTGTTTCTTACTAGAAAACATCTACATGTTCCGAACAAAGAAACTGATTTTTTTCCACAAACTCTTATTTTCTAATCTCTATATCTTTGCGACGAAGTCGTATACTTTTAATATTTCAAACTATGAATTCTGTTAGATAAGAAAATCTGAGTTTGTTGCAATAACTCGATGCTCCTTTGTCGTTGCTTAAAAATCCTAATTTCACAAAATCACAAATAATCTTGTCTTAAAAAATATAAAGCGGTATACATCCCCCTCTATTTGAAAGTATATTCTATTTGAGTTTAATATACAGGGTAACCCACAAAGGATGAGACAGTAAGAATATTCTATTTGAGTTTAATATACAGGGTCACCCGCAAAGGTTGAGGCAGTAAGTATATTCTATTTGAGTTTAATATACAGGGTAACCCACAAAGGATGAGACTGTAAGTATATTCTATTTGAGTTTAATATACAGGGTAACCCACAAAGGATGAGACAGTAAGTATATTCTATTTGAGTTTAATATACAGGGTAACCC